TAGATCCCAGATAGCAGTATGAAATGTAATTTGCACATTCACTGTATGTTTGTATTTCAGCGAGAGAAAAGCGTTCGGTTACAGAACCAAAACATATTCAAGCTTTCCTCTTGCATTTCTTCATATACAAAACCAGAATTCTGGAGAATTTCATGCTCCAACAGCAAGTCTGGATATCAAACAAGGAGCTCAGGAGATCCTTCGGAATTTTATTAACAATTTTCTCTCCTTCCATGTTTCTGACTACTAGAGCTGAAGAATCACTGCTGAAGCAGCTCCCTGAATGAGGAGTTTAAAAATGTAATTATGTGAGAACACTGCATATGTTAGTACTATGAAACAGCCGTATGCAAAAGCAGTCTCTATTCAACAAGTTCCTTGCACTTCCTAAGGAACCTTTCTTCTCTGTATTTAACCTCAGGAAGAAACTTTAACAAAGAACCAGTCTTCTGGATCGAGGATTCCTTTCGTGTTTTTGTATTTATAGTACATCATTAACATCCTTTTTCAGACACAGCACCAGAGTATTTCTTCCACTGTATTATGTGCCCTCTTTTCGATGAATTTGTGTTCTTGTCTCTCTACTCTTATTTTGCAGATTCATCTTGATCATCACCTTTTCGTAATTTTACAAACATTTAAACAATTTTGTCATTGAATTATATGCAATTCCCAGATGTTTAAGTAGTTTCTTTTCCATTCATCAGTCTTTACTTCCACGTTTGATTTTGAAGCATCTTCAAACCTCTGAATTTTCACCACCATCAGATGGTCCTGCCGTACACTACACAATTAAACAAGCCTCCCTGCCACTGGCAAAAAAAAGAAATATCCTTCTATACTACACAGGTTACTAGCAAGCTTAAATGAAGCCTGAACATTTTCAAAAAGGAAAATAATTTTAGCCTACTTATGGTTGCGATTACATTGTTGCTAACGTGAATGTAATGTAAAGATGTAGTATTGTTTTCCTTAAGCTGTATAAATCCCTGCTCTCCTTCAGGCCCAGTACCAAGTATTAGCCAGCAATGATAGAGTTGGCAAGAAAGCTCTGGAAGGGGCAGATGAATAGAAATCTTCTCCTTTGTTTTCTGAATGGTAAGAGATCTGCACAGCATATTCATTATTCCAGGCTAAGACATAGTTAACTTGTATGTAACTGCAACTCCACTATCCATCACACATCGTATTTAACGACTGATCTACTCTCTTCCTCCTTTCTTCTTCGTTCAGCAACACACCTAGCACTGCAAAAGAAACATACTTCCAGGAATATGAGCATAACTTGCTCAGTCCCTTACCAGTAGGATTAATCAAGAGCTGTTGACACACGTCAAGGGAACAGAAATACAGTTCTCAGCGAGGTATTAACCCTAAAATTACTGTTTGGTTTAGACACCTCTACTCCAAAATTTTTGGGTAACAACCACCTCTGGGTATAAAATGCATATATATATATATACATATATATATATACAAGCCTTCTTTGTCCCCCATTATGTCTAAAAAAATTAGGTTACTGTTTTGGATATTCTGTCAAGAAATGAATTCATGACTTCCCCTTAGCTTCCTAGGCTTACATTTCTGGATCACTTTTTAGCCTAGCTCCATGTATGTTTAGTGTCTGTACATAACTCCATTATTCTAATAAAGTTCTTCCATGGTAACATCCTACTAAACAGTACTTCGAAGAAGCAATAATTAATTCAAACTTTTCAAGGTAGCATACAAGATGCAATATTTCAACACATTTTTAACACCTTGGATCAGACTATGCTATACCAGTAACAGATCTGAGAATTTCATAATATTACTTTCATATGGAAAGTAAAATTAATTTTACGAGATATCACTTTAGAACCAACAAAACCCGAAAACCTCATAATTATAATATTACAGGATGCTCACTGTAAAAAGGAACAAGGGTACAAAAATGAGCCAATAGTTTTAGGCACTACCTATTGAACTATTTGTAAAATGAAAAATGTATATGGGTAATTTAAACTGAAGTTTAGAGCATGACACTGAAATTTCCAAAGACAAATCACACAGAGCTGCACTGCAGCAGTGAAGTACCAAGAAGGAAAGTTTGTTTCCGCAGGAAACAAACCCCCAAAGGTCAACTTTATGCCTTTCTACTGTGTCAGCTTTAAAAACATCAAAGTTTGGCAAGGTCTGCTGGCTTGGATATTATACACAGAGAAGTTATGCCTTTCTTTTTTCCAAAGCATGCTACATTTCCAGGGGAAAAGGGGAGGAAAAAAAGGCTTTATTTCTCCCCATAAGAGGACAGTACTCTATGTAGCTGTTATGTAGAAACTGCATCATCAACTCATCCATTCTCTCTGCAGCTGTATAAAGAAGTTACACACTTTGATGTCTAAAACTGCATACAAAAATAGAATATTGGGGCTTTTTTCAAATTAGGTGTTAAAAGTGATTTAAAAGTTCAAGTCATTATGCTGTAAGTACTGCAAGCTGATTGTATTTTACAACATAAAACTTATGAACCAACAAATTCTGGACTACGTACTACCCTTCTCTTTAAACAGATCATCCTCTTCATCTATTTTCCATTCTCTCAGACAATTTTTATGTTTATTTTTTAGAACAAACACATTCATCAGTTTCCTGAAATTAACAGAAGTACAGCCATTATTGAAGAAAGTGCAAGCTCACTCAAAACAAAACAAAACCAACAGCCCCCCCCAAAATCAAACCAACTAATCAAAAGAAAATTATTTAAAAAAAAAAAAAAATTATACCTGACATGATCCCAACTGTATAAATAAGAATCCATTTCCCTAAATTATTTGCTTCATGGACACTGAGCTGAAAGCTACTACAAAATAATCATCTGAACATTCAGCTTTCCAGATTGATATTAAATTATTCTTAGCAATACTATTTTATACTAAAACAATGTTTTGCAATTTTAAAGAAAGCCTTTAACAACATTAAAACGAGACATTTAGGCATTTGATGGTTAAACAGATTTAAATTTGAAGCAGTAACCTAAATATCCTACAGCATTTCTAAGAACTTCACTGAGCTGCCATAATTTCTGTCAGCATATGTAGTACTGAATGACTAGTAAAATACCTGAATTGAAACTATTCCAGTCTAGCAGTTTGTATGATCTTGTGTTACCCATAATTCCGACAAAGGCTGAGTTCAAAACAGCAAATTAGTAGATCAGTTATAGGAGCAGAATAGTGAAAAAAAAACTACCAACAAGAACACAATTGACAACACCACTCCACAGGAACTGGAAAGACACAGACAGCAGAGTTAATAAGAGGCTGAAATAGAAAGGGAAAAAAGGAGCATGCTATAGCAATCTAGCACTAGGTGTGATCAAAGTGTACAGTATATAGCAATTATTGTCTTATTGATAAGTTCTCAATCCACCCCTTCAAATGTTCTTTCCTCTTCTACATTTTCCTGTTTATTCATTTGCCAGTTTATTTGCTTCCTTTAGTATTTTACAGACTCATTTGACTCAAATGCTTAGTATGATCATCACTATATCAGAAATTTTTTTTCTACTTCACCTTCCCTCCCATAGCCACGTGCCTTCCGTTCCCCCTTTTATTTTCATTGTTTTGCAATATACTGAGTTCAAAGTACCATGCATCTTACATTCACTTGTCAGGAGCAACCTACAAGTCCCACAAAAACACTGCAAAGAGCCACTCAGTTGTAAAAATATGCATCTCTATTTTCTCTTATTTCTTATCCTGCTTTCAGTCAGCTGGTAAAAATAAAGGAGTGCATAACTCAAGAAATTAGTTTTTGAAACTTCTGAATGTAACTGATTTTTTTTTTTCATTTTGTCTTAAATAAATTTATCACATAGGAAATTTTGCACAAAAGTGACCTGTATCAGAAATCTGTTTAAAATACAGAAGCCTAAGACAATTTTGTGGCAAAGAAAGGGAGGACCCACATATAAATTATACTTTGACATTTCTCTTAATCTTCTCTCCACTGTGTAAATAAATCTTATCAATAGGAAAAAAAGAACAATATTGTGTACTCATATGCTTTAAAAAAATCCCTTAAAGTAGTTTTTTTTAATTCAAGTTAAGTCTCAGATTTTATTTTATTTTATGTTGTCAGTTTACTGAATCTTATAGATCAGTAACAATCTACCTGCTTGCAGAATTACTTGCCTTCGGCCACAGGAAGAAGAAAGAAAAGGAAAAAAGATTTTTTTTTTTTCTAAATTGCTTTTAAAGATGCATTTGCACAAACTTTGTTTTATTACTCCTGACCAGTGCATGCAAAACCACTACCGGTGCTATTTTTTACTCTCCTCTGCCTGCATTTTTAAGTGCACTGTTAACTCCAACTTTTTAGAGCATTCCTCGGCTCGTCTCAGTAAATATAACATCTAAGTCTTCAGAGTCAAAAGTCACTTAATTCTGATGTCAGAACTAGGACATGCAAAATACACATGTTCCAGTACAGGGGTTCCCAGGTAAATATTAAATAAAATCTTAAAGGACTGTTCAGTATATGTTTTTAAGAACAAAAACAAAGCTGTAAAGGTTTTGTCAAAAGAGGTTAAAAACATGTATGGAGCTAAGTTGTAGTCCTTAAGGATTTCAAGGAGCTGAAAATTAGAAAACATTCATAGTTAAGATCAAGTATTTAATCTTATTTTTGTTTGAATGGAAAACTTGCACCAGTTTTAATAGTAAAAAGTGGTAAAAAAATAATTAAACCCTCAATAATTCAAAGACAGTTTTTAGTGCAAAGTTACTGCATTCAAAGTACTCTATTATTTCATTAACTTGCTGAAAAGTTTCTCACTAAAAACATACCCTTCTGAATGACTATTATTTTTCAAGCTTAAATGAATGTCTGAAAAATACTGCTTTTAATACACCTGGTTAGAATAGATTTGTATCTATCCAAATACTGGTATGTTATAAAGTTATAAAGATTAGAAGTACGTGATCATTATTACTGAAGTTGTTATTGTGTTAACATACCAGGATTGTGAATGCGATCCAGGAGCTTCACAGACCGTGCACTGACAACACCACCAACGTGGACAAGGAAGCCTGGTGGAAAGGTCGTCAAGGTAAAAAATGGAAATTCCTGTTATGATTAAAAACAAACATCAAATGACTGCTTACCAACCACTGCTGATTGCCAATAAACATGCAGTGAATTGATAATTCCCCTGAAATACAAGCAAAGCAGTTACATTAGGACAAACATGTCCTTCAGGCTTACTAAGCACTATGTAACCATACCTCTTCACATACCCATAGTATAATAAAAGCAGCGGTATTATACAATGTAAGAATACTTTTCCCCCATAGAGTTGTATTTCAGCACAATATTAATAAATAATCAAAACTTTACACATTTGTGTTAACAAAGCCTCTATTGGTCCACCTCTAGGATGGCAGCTAAACAACATAATTGTACTCTCATTAGCTGATACAAAATAAAGGAACGTTTTTCTCCATTTTTTAGGTCTTATTGTTACAACTGACTACAGTTTGATCCTGAAGCACAGGGTAAACCAAACTGTAGTCTTGCAAGAATGATAAATGTCTTACTGCAAGAAAACATAAAAAATATTAATGGACTGCCCTCCTAGTGAATATCCATCCTCTAGAATAAAACATAAGTCTTTGAAATACAACTGTAAGTTCTTAAACTAAGGAAATTTGCTTCCAATTTATTTGCATAAATTAGTTCTTACCAATTCATAATTAAAATGAAGAACTAGTAAGTTTCAGCAACTGCACAAAAATGTAGTTCATACAAGAGGCAAAGTAAGTGATAATAATTTTTCATGACACACATGATGAAGTGAAACAGTCACATTCAAAGGAGGTGAGCCCAAAACTGGAAGATTTTATTTTCTACAAAGACATTCTATGAATGTCTAATATACACATGATTGCACACTTACGGGGGAAAGGCGATAGATTTATGTTCAGCAATTCTAAATGCATAAAGGCAAAAAAAGAAAAATAAAAGAAAAATCATGCAATCATGGGTTGTATAATCATGATATTTGGTTAAATGGAAAAAGTAAACACCATAATTTTATGAGAGAAAGTACAGTATAGATTCCTTTCTCACATACTTGAAGCACTTGCAACAGTACAGTTCAACTGAGCTTCTACCTAAACAGTGTACATGCTGCAGATTAAATGAGGATCACGGTTCTTCCAGCAATACATGGCATGAAAAGTCTTCTTAAACTAAAGTCCAATGTAGATTTAAAAATTAACACTTCAGAATTATTACCACCCTTGCTGTTAGAACTCTTACAACTTTTAAAAGGTCCTACAAAGTTCAAGTTTTCTGAATTTTCATTTGGCTTAGACTTTCAAAATTAAGAGGCAAACTTTGAAATCAGCAACCATAATATCAACAACCAGAAGAAAAAAAAAAAAAAACCACCCAATCCCCAAAACACCAAAACCTGCAGTCATGCCTTATGATGCAATTAAAAAGCAGGAAGATTTCACCATAGGACTCTACAAACCTGCTTGACTAATCTGTCTTCAGGAGCACCAATGGATCTCTAGAGAGGGCTAAAGAAAAGATTCCCCCAGACGGTTCTAACAGATCACAAACTGCTTTGCAGGTTATCAGAACAGTCAGAAAGCTCTGACTACAACACAGTCCAAACTCCTTTTCTGAACGTCTTTCATGTCAAAAAATGGAAAAAGCTCAGTACATAAACACTTCGTTAGAACTCTCTTTCACTGTGCCTCTGTAGAATCAACTGTTCAGTGATTCACAAGTATACTGGTAATATTTGTCCTGTATAATTCCATGACGCTCATTCTCCGTAACTTATAGTTAAATATATCAACATACATGTTTGCTCTGTCCCCTGAATATAGTTATCCCACACTAATGACATTAAAAATAATTAGCTTTCCCAGAACTATAGAGAACAATAAAAAAGTTTACAGCATACACCACCTACATGAAATTCCATTAAGCCTACACTAATTTATATTTTATACATACATATATATCTTCACACTTCCATTGTGCTAATGCAGTACGTAGTGAAGAAAGTGAATGACACTCCGTGCTCTAAAGCATAAGCAAATCCGATGCTTTTTAATTTTACTTTAATTTTTTGTTCGGTTTCATAAGGCTGTGTACTGCAAGTAATTTAATGTGTTTAAACTTCCTCCTACACTACAAACCAGGAATAAAACTTTAAAGTAATAACATGGTTTTGTCTCAACCAATACACTCAGGTGTATTGATACTTGCAAGTCTATATTATGATACATGCTAAAATTAGACCCATGTCCTATCAGTTAATTTCAGCCACAGACAAATCTTGGTAACTGACTCACTGAACCATTCTGACATGCTCTTATTCCATTAACAATGTCTCATTCATTCTGACGCGGATGGAATTCCATCACTTTGTATGATGGCTTTTTTTCCTTTTTTAAGCTCATTTAGAGGTTTGGGTTTTTTAATTATTATATTACTCAAATACAAGTTCGAGCCTCAAGTACACGTGGTAATCTGTAATACTTCAAAATTATAAAGCTATGCTTACTGCATGGAAAAGAGATTCCGTAAGAACCAGATCCAGTGTTTCCATATTACAAATCTGCTCTATTACTGCAATTACATCAAGGTGATGCAAGCACAGAATATTCCCATGTGTGAAAAGACACATGATGATCTTAAAGTTTCCAAGCTACAACTGAAGATGGTCAATCATTTTACCAATACTAATTCACTATGCCATTTCACAGTCATTGACTGCATAGACCCTGAAAGAACTGCCACTGGTTTAATCCTTGCAACTACATAAGAGATTTTATAGTTGGCATTTGGGGAAAGTCTGATAAGATTACAAAAAAATCCTCATAGTATTTGTTTAATGCAATGTTTTAAAATGTTTGTGTGTACGCATACATGTATTGCTAGTATTCTTTTTTAATTACATTTCATACAAAGACACACAAAATAATGAAAAAGCACATAGAACAAGGCTACACACACATATCATTTGCTGTTAGCGTCAGCTGAAGCAGTTCTCAGATTCCCTTCCAGCCATTCACTCATTCTCATCGTTGTACCACTCCCTCAGATAATGCTCATAATGCTCAGGTACGTTCATAGAGCTTTTTGGGCTGAACCAGAGTAGGGAACTGGTCCATATTAAAATACTGTTAATTTCCTGGTTGAATTATTTTTATTCCAAGCACGTTTAGTGTGCCATCTCACAAGGTGGCCAAACAATCTTACAATTTTTCTTCAACTGAACTGAGGGGATGGGCTGGATAGTAACAAGAAGTTGCTGGAAAGAAAAGTTGCTTAAGTCAGCATTTCAGGCAAAAGAATCACACAGAGAACTGCACTATAACACAACAGTTATCTAGCAGTGCTCTTCAGAGATAAAGATTATCAGAACTCCATTTTGAAAAGGCAGCAGAGTAAAGATCTCTCAAGCACTTGCGGAATGCAAACGTGGAGGAATAAAACACCATTTGTCCAAGTTGACGTCAACTGAGACATAAAATATCAAGAGCAGCATTTGGCCATTTCTACAAAAACATAGGCTATTTTTTCATGAGTAAAGTAAGCTCAAATTTTCCCACTGACAAAAATACACCATATACATTTACAGATAAAAATATACACAAAGATAGCTGTGCTATAGTTACACCTGCTATCAACAGGCATCCTGTGAATTGCTAAAAATATATTAATGTAAAACATAACACGTATGTGAGTTTTCCACAGCTGGTGTATTTTCCCAGAAGAAACTGAGTAATATTACCCTTCCAACAAAATCTGTTTTGGTTTGCAATTAGGGTTATTTAAGTGACAAATTAAAAACATATTTCATTAAAAAAACCTGTGGAGACATCCAGTTAAATTAACTGGTTTTAATATGCCTTAGCATTACCATATACCCAAATAAACTGAACGAAGACTCAAAAGAACTTACTATATATCTAATACATGTGGAAATACATTCTACATATTGAATTTATTCTTTGTTTTCCCCAAATAAGTGCTACCCTAACTAATCCAGACAGGTAACTTGAGTGCACTATGTGTGCAATATTAAAACAGACAAAATAACTTCTAAGTGTTATCCATTCTAGTTAGGTAACTGAAAAAAAGGTAACCGTAGCAAAAACACATCCAACATGATATTTTCAGAAAGACAGTATGAACATAGTTTTTTGTATCAATCAACAGTCTGAAATGGTTTGCTACATCATCATCATCAATAACAGATTCAACATGTTTCCATCCCATTTTACAGTCTTTTTTTCCACTAGACAATATACAGGTCTTACCAAAACAATGTGCAAATAATTCAAGCTCTAAAAATACATTAAGTGCTCTTAATTTACATTTTTAATTATTTTTAAAAAGCTTCCTAAGGAAATAACAGATCAGCCCTGAAATGTCTCAAATGCTAGCAGAAACAAAGAGAAAAGGCTTTTTAAAGCATTTTTTTCAAACTAAAACATTAAAATCAAAAAGCCATGGATTTGCCTACAAAGAGGAATTAAAATTTTAACTGAAATATATCAACATGCAAAACACTAAGCAAAACTATGCGGTCTGATAAACGCTGTTTAAAAAAAAAAACCAAACAAAAAAAACCCCAAACCAGAACGCATGTAAAAAAATCTTGCATAAACAAGATTACAAAGAAATCTGCAAAACCTCACAAAAAAGAAAATCAAAATATTTCAAATAGTTGTTTAGAAATCCTCAATACAAGAAAAAAGGGCTACAAAAAGAGTCACACAATGTTTTGGAACATACCCGCCTTCTACAGAATCTATGAGGCGATCCACCCTTAGCAATGGGTAACACAAAAAATGAGAAGAGAATCATCCACTTACTCAGAATAGTAGCTATTCACTTCTATTTCACAGATGTAACTGATTTTGTTTTCAACAAACGTATATGGTTCTATATAAGTAGTTCAGGTAGTCAGAAATTGTAATTAAACTAGAATTTATTTCTGAATAGGAAAACATTCACATTTCTTCCTTCAAGACACTTCACTAATAACATTTTGACAAAAGCAGTATATCACCTATAAAAAAAAAGTTGCAAGGACTATTCCAAAATTTAAACAAGGAATTAAAAACACTATTTTTATTATGCAGTCTATTCAGCGTAACAACAGATGGCATTTTTAGTCCTATAGAGGTTCTTCAAAAACCTATAAATCTATAAAGCCTTTCTATTGCTTGGGAAGTGGTTTAGCTTTAAGTTACCATTTTTTTAAAGGCTACATGCACATCATTTCATGCAGTAGAACGAAGGCTAAATTATGCACCAAACCTATTTTTCAAAACTGCAAGTTTTCGCAATTATAAATGGGATTTTCACCTTGTTTAAAGCTATTCCAATGTTTCTGAATTTGACTTCTGTAAAAACTTAACTAAATACATGATGGTAAAGTATTAAACTTACCATGCATCAGTAACTTACAGAGACTAAAGAGCAGTAATTTTTAATATAACTGTTTCTTACAACACCAACTGTAATCACTTGAGTGCTGTGCACATTACAGTTATTTCCTCCACTCTTTTCTTAATGCTTTAGTAATATATCAAAATTTAAATAATTTGTGTATAAAAGGGCTATTAAACGTTCAACATTTCCAGTAAGTTTTCAGACCTAAAATGTACACATTTTTTAAACAGAAAGTAACAGGAAACATTTAACTTACTACAAGCTAAATTTTCACTTCAGTAGATCAGAAATATAAGTATAAAATGCCTTACCCTTTGTTCCAGAGCTGATTGAGTCTGTTGTCTTAGAAGAGTTTTAAATGGCCCCCCTTCTTTTCCAGCACTCCCACTGCCCATTCCTGAAGAATAGCAGTACAAATGACATTCAAATAAACATATACTGTAATTTGTAATCAAACTTTGATTTAAAAATATATAAAACAGTCATTGAAAAGAGTCAAGTTATCCCCATAATTTTAATTTTCAGGAAAAAAATGCTGAGCATCACAGTTTAATTTGGGGTTGGGGAGGACTGGTTTTTGGGTTTGGTTTTCACATGACTGGAAGTGGGTTTTTTAGCATTTGGACAAAAACCTCCTGATCTAAGATTTTTTTCTGCTGTCAAACTGAATTAAAAAAAACAACTTCAACATACAAAGATTTTAAGACCTGGGCTTGCAATTCTTTCCTATGACATAAAACTTCCTTTTTTTCCTTTGTTACTATTGGGAGTTTTGGCTATGATTTCAATATAGAACTACCTTCTCTGCTTTACACAGAAAGTTTCTACATAATCAGATTTTCAGCCCTTATCAAAAAGGGCTGCAAAGTCATCATTAATTCCACACTGTTGAACAATACTGTCTGCAGGATTACTCTCTATAGTTAAATATCTCTCTCTACTATCGTTATCAGCTTAAAAAAAAAAATCTGGCTTTCTGAGAGTTTCAGAGTAACTAAATCACCTTTCCTAACCATCGCGAGGAGACTCTGCACATAATTACAACAGTAGCTATATAATGCATGATGGGGACTAAAAACAAAATTTGCAAAGGCGATGCACATCTTTTGATTTGAAATATAAACTCTGAAAAAAATTACCAATTATTTTTATTTTCTTTGATATCTATGCAATGAAATATTCACTCATCTGATTCATTCAGATAAGCTAAGGACTACTGCTCAGCATTTAAAACTGCCACACTTATTTGATTACTGTATTTGCACACACATAACCTGCAGATTATCTATAAATGAAAATAAGAAATAAACTCCAATTTTGCATAATATGGGTAATTCTCTCTTTTCTTCTTTCATGTACTTTACTCCCACCCCTATCCTCCAATACAGGAACTTTTCTGAAGAGATGGAAGTTTATCAGATACACAAATATCTTTGCTATTGAATTATCTGTTACCAAGGAACTGTATTCTTAACTGAGTGTGTCGAGATGCAGGTTATATGTATGACACTAAGTTATTTGCTCTATGGTTAGAAATCACAAAAGTAAAAACCAAACACATACCAAGATTGTGTTTTTCCTAAAGTAAACACAATGCTGGTGAATCAGATTTTCTTGGTAATATTTCATGCCTAAAAACATACTATAATTGGTATTTCTTGTATCTAAAAACCACCAGTGCTAACTCGACAAAGCAAAAATAAACACTTAAGTTGCATAGGAAAGCACAGGATAAAGAACAAAAGAAGTGTCAGGAGCAAGATGAAATACAAACACCACATTGCAAACAGTTATGAATGAAGCCAAGATTTTCTTTTACAGAATTAACATAACAATTCCTTGCTAGTTTCCTTTTTCTTCTGATCTAGCATCTAATAAACATGAATGAGATTGTACATATACATCAAAGTGCAGTTATTTGTTTTAACCAAAGACTGGGAGATCTGGAAATAATACCAGACTTAATAATGTATGTTAAGTCATTACTAACATTTCCAAAAATTACTAGGCTATCATTACCACATAATTACATATAAAAATACTATAATTTTTAACAAATATTTTTAGCTGTTCTTGGATAAGGAAACAAAAAGATTAGTATCTGTATAGTCCCAATAAACAAGATTAAATTGCTTTTACTATTTGGCATTGATTCTAAACATCATTGTCAGGGACTATACAGTATTGAATACAGACAAACATAGCATAAATACTGGACGTAAAACAAACTCAAAAAATACAAACTAATTAAAATAGTTTCTACAGAAAAAAAGCAGTAGTATCAACTATTTAATTTAAATCTATGAAAATAATGCATGTCAGTGAAATGGAAAAGGAGGCAGTACAAATAGAAAGTTTGTACAGGCTTTGTCTAAAAGATTAATTTAAAGAGCAGAGTTGCTAGCCATCTGATAGCCATTATTTCAATAAATTATGAATAAATTAATGAGCAAGTTCTTGTTCCATGCAAAATACAGGAACAACAAAGTGAAGGGCATAAGGGGGATTAAAAAGATAAGTAAATTATTTTAATCCAATTACCAAAGGAAATTTTGCAAGGGAAAAGGAGAAAGTTCTCTAGCATAAAATACATATGTTTCAAATCCTGTAAGAAGTTCTGAAGCTGTTTCAAGCTTCTGGGGCAGAGGTGAGAGATGGTATGAATAGTCATGTAGCCAGCAGTTTTCAGAGGCTAACTGAAGAAAAACATAGGGTTATAGAAGGCTGTGTGTTAAATGCCCCCGTATCAAATAACAACAACATTTTCTTAAAAGTTTAAAAGGCCATAATAGATTGATCCTACCAGAAGCAGCCAGAAGCAGCTCTTCAGTGAAAGAAACACTTTTCCTCAGAACAACTGGGCTGACATGGCTAGAGTGTAGAGGGTTAAGGCTAGACCCCGAGAGGAGGAGACAGGACTTTTTAAGATGTGGGGAATCACAAGAGAGTGTAGGGGAGCTGGGAAACAGGAAAATCCTAGGTCCCTGTGGGGAAGGTGCTGTGGAGGAAAGTAATAGAGACAAAGAGATGTAGATTCAGAAGATGACTAAAGAAACAGACGGAAGAAATCAAAATGAAGCAATTTTTTTTTTCTCCAAATGAACCAGCACTTATTGCTGAATTATTTCTTAACATACAAAGAAATGGAATGACAACACAGCTCCACAATGTGAATGAGACGCATGTTCTCAAAAATCATGACCTGATTAACTGTATTTTGAAATTAATTTTTTTTAAAAGCTATGGTAATCTACATTTATTCTAAGTTTTATACAAAATTTGATAACAAATACTATGGAGTAAAAGCTAAATAATACGCTCTTCTCACACACTTAATCTGATTACTTTCATTATTTAGGTATAAAAAGTTATTTTCGAGAGAAGTCATGGATTTGTTTTACGATTTTGAGTCATAAATCTTGTAGAATTCTAAGTTCCCACAAAGAAAAGGAGTTCCCACCTTCTCAATTTCCTCCAAACATATACTATGTCACATCAAAATGTATTACCTAATTAAAATATGTCATGCTTTTTGTCAGCCTGATATTCTGTTACTTTGCAGTGGCATAAAATATATCACTATTCACAGAAGTCATCTAAATTCAAACGAAAACAAGCTTTCTCAGCATAGAATAATTTCCCCTCATTTTTAGACCAGATACAGACCAGAATGGATAACACAATCACAACTGTATTTTATAAAAGACATTAAGGTAATATTCTCCTGAGTTGGAGCCACTGAAAACTAGATGTTTAAGCAGATCCAAGTGTCAATCTCCTCTATTTATTTATTCATATTGTGAAATTGTGGTATCTGCACTCTTTTTCCAGGTTAGTCTCCATCTCAAACATGTGAACACACTAGCCACCTGACTGAGAAATAAAGAGGAATATAATGTACTGCAGAAACATCAGAAAATACTTCATTTTTCACATCAGCCATTCTGAGTAATGGATATCTCAAATTTGATGACGTTTAATGTGTCACATGAGACGTCTGCATTTTTTTTTTTTTTTTTAACACTAACATCACCAACTTTCACACTGAAATATTCCAACTTAATAACAGTCTTAGGAAATGAAAACAGAGGTCTAAACATATACAGTATGTTAAAAACAACATACTGAATTTAGTATGTTATGGAAGTATCTTCTGCACATCATCAAATTTTTTGGTAAAAGGTAAAACAAATGACTCAAGAGATACTGTCCTTTTAAGCTATTAAGATTCAAAATCTAGTATGTAACACCAAGATACAGAATTTTTAAACGCAACCAGCAAATCCTCTTAGCACAAGTTTCAGTAGCAGAGTTAAAAGCTGCTAAAGAGACAGTGCTAGTAAGCAAAAGTATGCTCACTGTTAGCTGTAATACTAAAAAGATAGCTAAAAAATATTTTTATATACTTGAAAAATCTCTAAAAATAAGAGGTACCAATTACACAATCTGTTTCAGTTCTGAATGAACTGACCAAAGATGAGAGGGCCCATCCACCTACATAACACTGCCAGGAATGATGTAAGGTTGCTGCTTCAAAAACTTGACAAATTCATAGTGAGTTACCACCTTCACAAATTCAGAACATTTACATCTATAAAGATGACCATCTACATTACATTTACACGACATGATCCTTACCATGGAAAATCTCATCAAAAGAAACAGGTTTTCAAATATTCAGTAAACCAAACACGTGAACTTGTGACTCTCCTACATAATAAGCATGCAGTTATATTTATTGGTCCTTTAAACAAGTGACGACCATAGGTTATCCACAAAAGAGTCATCATTTACACCAAAGGACCAAAAAAAAAAACCAACCCAAGTGTGCTTTTGTTTGTTTGTTTTTTTAAAAACAGGACAGAGAAGATAGTACTAAGAAAGACAGCTTCCTAATTGGGAACATTTTTTAACAGATATCTAGGGAATAAATTGGGTAAAATATTTAATAGAACTGCATTTGAATGCAACATTGAACTTATCTGCTTGGAAAAATTTTTGAAAGGGGTGCTATCAAGTAAAGCTGAACCAACTAATTTAATATGCTTAAAAATTGTCTAGACTAGATGGAGACAAGAATGTTCTGAGCTTCAAATACCACAATTTAAAACACCATTTAAAGAACAACCAAACTTTTATAAACAATTCTGCAAAATATTTTGCCCTACGGTAGCAAAACTCAGGGCATTGGTCACGTAATGGAGAATAAACAGACAGTAATTCTTTGAGTTGTGCTGACATTATTACTGACGTGATTCTAACCACAGACTAAAAAATAAGGAGGAAGGAAACAAATTGAAGAAATTATGATAGACCAATGGAGAAAGAAAAATGCTTTTTGAAGATGGCTGGAGCATAATTTAAGTTACTTCCAAAAAGTATACTGTGTACGTAAAGCCATTTCCATATACCAAGGAGAATAAAAAGACAGCAGCTGCTACATTTCTAATATTGCATTTGCAAAAAGGAGTTAAAAATCACAGAGAAATGTATACAATATACTTACAGCACAAAACATTAGGCTTGAAGACTACATAGTTTCAGTTACACTGTCCTTAACATATTGTGGTGAGAAATGTACTCCCATAATTTGTAATATGAAATGGAGGAAATAAGAAAAAGGCAATTACTTAGGACTCCCTTAATGCTCTGAAATGTTTTATTTCAACTTGAATACAGTTGTGTTACAAATGTCATTTTAATGTTATCCAGAATAGTGGAAATATAGGCAGGATTTAAATTTTCACCCTACAGAAATCCTTTCAAGCTTAAGGTGTGCTATCTGAAGTCTCCAATTTCCACATCATTTTGATAACTTAAATGGCAAAAAGCAAAAAGGGGTTGAATGAAAATTTAAAAGAGAAACAAATTAAACAAAAAGTGGGTGGAAGCGCCTTACCAGTTTTGGGTGTCAAACTCAAATCTGTGTCAGAAGAAGAGGACTGTCGACTGTAGGACTTGGAAGGTGAAAAGGAATAGGTTTGGTTTTTCAGAGGGGTGGAGGGTCCTGATGAATGAGTATTGGGATTGGGATCTTCATTGAAGGGAATCCTGCCAGAAGAAGGTGGAAACATATTCAGTAATCCTGTGCCAAAGGACCTGGCTGACAGCAGCATGATCCAAACACCAGGATGGGATTGGGGCAGGGCCAGCAGCTATTCCTGAGGTGCGAGACTGGGGATGAGGCCAGAGGCAAAGAAATGCTGTTTTACCCATTCAGCATTCTACAGATAGATGCTGATAATCTACAATGAAACAATTAAGCCAAATGAAAGGCATGAGATGTGACAAAAAAATTATATATATGCAAAAGAAAAAATTGAAAACAGTTTATGGCTTTAAAATCTGGTCAAATACAGAATGCTTTGCGTTAGTTTAATAAAGAAAAAATGATTTTAAATTATATTTGTGTTTATACATATTCATACATTTATGTATATACACATACGCATTTAAGGAAAAAAAAAAATGTTTCCTTATCCTATAGCATCAGCAGCATGCCACAGCTAAAAACAGAGCAAAGAGGAGAATCTTTATGGGAACAACTATATTGACAAACAGTTCACTTATGCACAGACTGACTTACCTGCTCTCCAAACCCATCTCTTCCACAAATGGCACATACCCTTCCTATAACCATTTTAAAACCTAAATACTGTATCTGAATTACGCTTGAAAGCAATTATGAACTCCAATCAAAACATGATTTCCTCCAATGACTGTAAAATAGCGAATGTTCTTTTAGATACCTCAACTTATTTTTACTTAATTTCTTAGGAAGTAAGCACGTTAAAAAGCAATAAAGAGTGTGGCCTTGTGGAAGAGACTCTGATGCATTTTCAAGGAACTATTGCCTTTGTTTCAGCAGCTGCACACAGAGTAGTTCTTCACTGACAACAGAAGGTGCCTCCATGAGAAAATGAGGGAGAAAAGATGGGTGGTACCTGCCTACACTGCCTGCCTGCCTGCACTTTGCGACCACTGTGCCTGTGGCCTGCCTCTCCCCAGCTCTTGAGTCTGAGCAGTCTCGTACCAGTGTAGATGAGAGTGGGAACAGACACAGAGAAGTTCTGAGTAAGTCGTGAGCCAGTAGCAGTGTGAATTGGGCTGTTGTGAGTCGAGCGGCATCCATGGCTTGGCGGATGAACCAGCGGAGACCTGAGAGAATTTGCAGCCAAGGTGGAAGAAAAGAAAACAATACATACAAACAGGTTGCAAAGTTATGTTATAAATTATTTCAGGGAAGTTTAGCTAGAGGAGATCTCTTACTTTAAGCAGACTCTAAGAATTTTAATTCCTAGCATGCAAGAGTCCAGATGAAATAAAAAGAGAGAAAGGAACAGCTTAAACACTAGCTTGTGAATGATTAATTGAGTCTTTGGCAACAGGGCATCAAGTTAGTAAAGCCAATAATAAGAAGTATTAGTTGATTGTGCTGGCTTTGAGAAACATTCCCTTTGGACTGATGGGACAATGATTCTAACAATATCCACCACCAAGCTGAACATGGATTATTTGGGGGGTGGTATTTCCACATTTTGCTCCAGAGTGAAGGCTACTGATTTATTTATGAATGCTTTTTAAGTTGGTAGTTACCAGGTCCACCTTTTTTTTTTTTTTTTTTTTTAAATCACCACTGTTAATTTATGCTGCAGTGTATCCAGAAGTTCTTTTGATGGCAAATTTTTAAAATTAAGACAAGTTAAACAAGCAATGATTTGAAACAGAAATCAGTAATTTTGAGAAGTCAGAGCATACTGATGCCTGCACGACAAAAATGCCTAATTACTATTGTAATGACACAACAGTTAAAGTTAATGAAAATGGCTAATTCAAATAGTACCTCTGGAAACATAGCATAAGTAGTATACTTTTTGGTGCCGTTTTTTCCTTCCAGGAATTGGATCACTCTACTAAGCAGAAAATAACTGATTTATCCAAGCAACAAAGTAGTAACAATTTGAAAAAGACTGCAAGTATTTTTCTATTAATTTGTATACTCATTAAAAAATTGCATTCAAACTGTGTTCGGTGCTGCAGTAGATATAATAAAGATCAAGAAATTCTACCTCTCATCATAAGAAGTTTATACTGCAAGTACACTGTAACCCTACCTGTTCTGCAATAGCCCTACCTGTTTTGCAACAGTAAAAAGCAAAGCACACAAGAAAAGACAAAAACTACTTCAGGGTCATTCTCTAAATCACTGACGGAATTCAAAATTTATCTTTTCTTACATGCTCAGCACAAACACCATCCAAATTCAAAATTTATCTTTTCTGATATGCTCAGCATAAACACTCAAACCTGATTTTACCGAACTTGGAAAATCTTGAACAGAGGGTGCATCATAGGAAGCCCTCACAAAAATGTTTACTGTACAAACACAGAGTCAAGGCAGAACTAATTATTAGTTAGGAAACTGGTGCATCACAACCCAAGGATACGCAATACCATTGCTATATAAATTCAAAAAAGTCATATTAAGGTTTACCACTCCAGCTTCTAAAGAAAGAATATAAGTAATCCAATCTAAAACGTTTCAAAATTCTGGAATATAAACTGAGTTGCAGACAAATAGAACTACAAAAAAGAAAAACAAATTCTGGGGAAAAAAAGGAAATCACACTGGTTATGTAAAATTGAATGAGTATGAAAAGAGGAGATCCTACAAATTATTAATTCATACTTACTCCTTCATTTCTTTGGATGGGGAGTTACATGCAGGTAAAAATGCTGATGTGTTACTTAATTTATCCAACGTGCAGGCTGTTCCTATGGCTCGTACTACTAGTCCAGACTCTCCCTCCAAATCAAAACACTGCAAATAACCAACAACAGCATTTCCTCTCATTTCAAGCACCTTCAAGCCAATCTTCCTTTGCAATTCACCTACAAAACAAAAGGTAAAGAGCTCATAATTGCAGTGAACTTTCCCTATTCTCTTTTGTGGTCTTTGGCCTCTCTTTTTGGAATTTCCAAGTCAGTAAAACAGGTAATAGATTCAATCTTACACAATTATGCCAAGCTGCTGGTCACAATCTCTGCCTCCTGTAACATACTGTGATGTTCATGATTTGCACAGCTTTTTCCATTTTTCTCCAAATCTACTCTAATTGCAACATGTTATTTCAGAAATGTTTTTCTCTGTTTTTTATTTTCATTAGTTTTTCCCTTTTTTACTTATTTAGAGAAAGAGATGGTCAAGATGTGTGCTGGAATACACACAAGTTTCTAAATACAGTTCAGAACAATGCAACATCTTTGAAATCCATGTGGATAGGCATCTACAAATCTTTTTTTTTTTTTTTTAACAAACTTATTTAAGCATATTTCAACCTAATTCATATTTTTTGGTCTTTTTAAATTAACAGTTTAATATGCAACCTCATCTACAAAACGTAACACCAAATAAACAAAACACAATACCAAATATGCCACACACTCACTGCAAACAAAAGACTGACACTTCTCCTCTATTTACTGCACACAAAGACTGAAAGACTGTAACTGTAAGACAGTGGTCTGCCATAGATGCTTACTTAGCAGGATGTTTAAAGACAAAAAGTTCATTGATCCATGTAGCCTTGGTAATACTAGGTGCAAAATATCATCTCTCTTTTGATGAAAATGAAAGTTTCCAAAATCCTCTGTTAACAAACTGAAAAAGCCTCACCATCACAGATGATAGCCTAACAGCCCCAATGTCAATGATGTTAAGAAATCAAGTGGAATGAAATGATCACTACTGCTTTCTAGAAGCTTGGTTTTAACATTACCAGAAAAGGTAACATTACCAGAAGGTAAACTTCTTAAAAGAGGCTGAAATTACACATGTACTGGTCTTGAAAAAAATCTCTAAGACTGAGGTAGAGTATGAAAGTTTCTAGTTGAGTGAAAATTGCTACGGATTCCATTCAAACCAAGGTTGAGACTGAATTCTTTTTACATATAGAACACATAATATGACAGAGAATTATGAAACAGCCTGGGTCATTCTCAGAATTTACAGATTTCTTCAGGATTCTTCAGGTGTCGCCACCAGTAACAATGATTGCAATGTGAAGCATTGTATTACATGACATGAAACAGTATGGCCATGAGGTCTTTTGGGTTTTTTCCTCTTAACCACTGCCATGAATAAAAGTATTACTAAAATCTAGCAGAATACTTCCACATGTGCTACTTTATCCTCTTTCACCATTTATGCAAGGCAAGAGATATGCAAACATTAATACTATAAACTGACATATCAGGGGAGCTATATTAAAAACCTCATAAAAAGTGAAGTCATGTCAGTTATGACAATATTGGTTTTTCAGATTTTTCCTCAAAACATGCTGGCTCTCCTCGTGAAGATACTGAGTAACGTCTCCACGTTATCTTTTATGTTGCCCCACTTACTAAAAATTTCCATACATGCTTGCAAAAACCAACTCACTTTTTCTTATAGTATCTTCCTTAAAACACAGCTGTATCTACCTGACAACATTAAGAGCCCATTAGAGAACTGAAACCACTGCCTATCATTCTAGTGGCTATTTTTCATCATTTCTTTGTATTCGTTACACCTTCAATATTGTCCACCTCTAGCAATTGGTTGTCTCCTGTCTTAGTGTGTAAGTACTCTAGAGTAGGAGTGTTTTGTTCTGTTCTATTGGCACTGAAACAGGATCTTAGTTCACAATTGCTGTTCAGAAGCATCAGTAATACAAAAAAAAAAACCACCCCAAACCAAAACCTGTGAAGATACTTGATACCGTAGAGCTCTGGAGACATCAACTGACTCTAATCACTGGTCTCTCCAGGAATTGCAGGTATGCCCTGCAGAATCAGTGCAAGGCAATACAGAAGTATGCTTGAGGAACAATGAACCAATCTTGACTTTGAAAACATGGGATGAGTAAGATCAGTATTAATACACACTGTATCTGAGATGGTGTATATTTGTTCACATATTTCAAAGTAGTTTGAAGAGGGTGTAGTAGTTTATTATTTTAAGTGTTTGAGTCAAAATGCTAGTAATACTCCTCATAGAGGTTAAGACAACCTTCAGAAGACTTCCACTGGTTTATAAGACCTTGCTAAAAACAATCAACAAATTAGACAGTAGCATGGCCTCACCAAGAAGGGAAAGAAAGAGCGAGAAGGAGAGAGCGAGACCGAGAGACAGAAAGAAAGAGACAGAAAGAAAGAGACAGAAAGAAAGAGACAGAAAGAAAGAGACAGAAAGAAAGAGACAGAAAGAAAGAGACAGAAAGAAAGAGACAGAAAGTCAGCCATACTGGCCATCAGTTAGGGCAATAGAACCTTCAGAAACAGAAGCCACTATGAACTGAAAAAATAAATATAATTAATACCAAAAATCATATACAATGTTATGTTAAGCAAGTCACTTATTTAAAGGGTGAGTATTTTTAAAAGCAGTAATAACCATTACAGCCCACATGTTTAATACCTGACATGAGTGAAATAAGTCTTTGTCTAGCCTCATTCGATGCCCTTGGTGTACGAATTCGGTCTATCCACTGGTATTCTGGGTCTTCATTAACTACAAGTTCTTCCACAAATCCATGAATTATTACTGCTCTGTAACACTTAGGAATAGATGTAGCTGTTAAAAAAAAAATAAAAGATGTTAGGCATGAGTCTATAAGCCAAGAATTCCAAGAAAAACATAAAATTACACGTAAAAAGTGATGTGAATGATTCCAGAAAGTAATCCACATGATTTTCTGCTAAAATGTGGACATACTTAAGCAGTTTTGTTCTGGGAGACTCTGGAACACTAAGATAACTGTCCAGTGTACCAGTTACAACACATACCATTATGAAACCTTTTCACTTTGTGCCTCTTTAACAGGATATGCACCCAAAGTAACACAACGTGCGTATGCACATGCACTGAAACGCAACTTCAGAAAGGGGGAAAAAAAATCAGTTATTTACATTGTTTTGAAAGATGAACAGTAAAAATTTATTTAAAAAAAAAAAAAGAAAACTAAACAATTTTCTGCATTTGCTGCTGGCTTCAATGTAATCTCCACGGGGCTTATGCAATGATGAAAGAAAGGTGGTGCAATGGTGAAAGAAAGGAAACTGACTTTTTTCCTCTACTTACTGCAAAAAAACTTGACTCCACAGGATGACTGCCTAAATCTGTTTAAATCATTGAAGAGATCTACTTTCACCACCACATTGATCTCCCCACGTATACCTATCGATACAAAACATGAAAAATTAGAAGCTGTGTCAGAAACAAATACAAAACTAGTCCTATTAATTATTCCCTAATACTAGTAATTAATGCACTTTCTATCACCAACGAGGTAGTTTTTCTGCAAAGAATATACTATAACCCTGATAGAACAGCTCTATTCCACTGGCAGTTCATGTGTCAGTTCTAGCCTGGGCCAGAGGAGCAGGAAGACATTTCCTTGCCTCTCAGCTCTGATGCAGAGACGCCCTCTCAGAGGAAGTTTCTAGTTCTGCCCAGCCTTTGAGGCTGAAGCTATGCAAGCAACAGTCCTCAAATACTTGCTGCACCAAACAGGACTTTAGAAGAAAGATGGAATTGGGAAAAGAGAAGTCATCAGTCTCCTGATACTACAGTGGCCTCTGCTGCAGTGAACCAGTGCTCTCTCTGCTCCTTTGCCCTCTACCGTCAATGCAGGAAGGGTATAAAATCAGCATCTAAGTACCGTGACTGTCCCAAGATATCCTTAGCACAAAAGGTCGGAAGTACTAACTTTTGAGTATAGATGCCTTGAAACTGGAGTCCTGCCCACATCAAAAAGCTCTGACCAATACCAAAAAGCTTTTACATTTTCTCCCTGAAATGGTTTCAAAATCACAGTAAAGCTACTCTCTGAAGTTCAATCCAATGAGAAAATTTATGGTTCTTTCTAGAACCACAAAGTGGCACAGTAAATATTTGTAAAATACTTCGATGATGTGAAGAAATATAATAAAAATAAAGTATTACAGAATTTTTAGATAAAGCTTAATTTTTAGCCACAATAATGTGGCCATTATTAATAATGGAATATTTCCTCAACACAGAGCCATTCCTTTTTGATTTTTCTGCTTTTCTATTCTGAGCTTTTCCTTCTTTTTCCCCACCGAGTAACAAAATCATTTCACATATTACAGGTTCTGACACATTGAGGACTGAACTTCTTGATGAGTCAGATCTCTAGTGTCTTTAGAAGCCTTTATCACATAAATATGACACTCAAAGAAAAGCATTAGGTTCACAGATTGACTCTGACATTATTGCAATAAAGTTACCTAAATCTATCTTCCAATAGAAAGAAGCCTTCAGTTACTGTAACAGAAAGTGCATCAGCTTCATATATTTTCACAAATAATCATGTTAAGGTGCAAAAAATATTTTTTTAAATAAAAATTTATAAACATTATATTAATTATTTTTTTTAGGAAGCACCAATTGCTGTTTACCAAGGATCAAGAGAACTAGAATCTACTTCCATGAGAATGAAAATATAAGAATTCTAATTTTACTTAAATAGAAAAAAAAGCTGGAATACTAACAGATCTAGAAAAATACAGAGAAATCTAATTCTCTCTGACACACAAGTTGTACACATCCCGAGACAAGTGTTCACCTAATGTAACTTCAAAAGAAAATGTACGACAGGAAAATGTGAATAGAATAAAAGGGTAAGTAAGAAAAATACATGCAGTATTGCTCAAAAAAACCTTCTTCAAGATAATTGTTTTAAATGTAAAAAATACTTTGCATCAGCTATGATGATCATCCAGTAAATACTATTATTTCCCAACAACTATTTATAATTAGCTTTTAACATAGTTTGGTCATTTAATTCACACTGGATAATGAACAAGGGTGATAATGACAACTACATAGATGTTCTACAATAAGGTATTCAAGAAGCAAGCTAACTGCTGTAAACTGACCTTGACTTTCTCGGACAAAAGCTGTGTTTCATTAAAATCAAAGGCAAAAATATGATTAACTTCATTTTCTCATACCTTCAAGATATTCTGATGAAATCTACCTAGCACTAAGAGTACTTTCTGCAGGGAAAAGGAATTTCATCCTGTACTTTATGTTGAAGATATGTTACATCCTGTCGCTCCATCTCAAGTGAAGTTTATATAACATCCCAGGAAGGCACACCCCAAGTGACTTCAGCAAAAGCATATTCTTTTAGTAAACACGGGGTAATTGGAAAAGTATGTTTGGGTGTTTTTTTTTAATTTGAATTTTGCAGTAACTATTTTAAATACCATGTGAAGATTTCTTCCACTTGTCACAAGTCCTATGAAAGGCATTCTGCCAAGCACTAGTCCGAACTACTATGCCAGAAATTTTCTCATGCCAGAAATAAGGAAAAAAGCGCCAGCTCCCAAGGCTAAAATTACTACAAATTTCTGAAGACAGCTTACAGAAATGAAGATTGTAAGAAGCAGATTACATCTCAAACAATGGTTTTTTACTTCTAAATTAGTAAAACTTACCATGAATGGTATCATAAATAGGAAACCATCCTGAAATAACTGTAGCTGCTTCACTATAGAGCAAAGGATCAATATCTATGTACACTTTGCCAATGGCATCATTAGCACTGTAGGTATCGTGATCAAGAACTGTGATTTGGAGAGGCTCATCTTGTAGCTCTTCATCATCTACCTAGAAACAAATATTAACATGGAATCTGAGTATTTAAAAAAAATGCAGGGAAACATTGCTGAAAAACAAATGCAAAAAAGAGGAGAGTTACTTATGTACAGTGACCTGACACAGATAAATTTGTAATTTTGATTTCCTGTATCTGAACAACGCATTCACTTATTTTGATTTTGCCCTTCACAGACTGGTGAAATCCTGGAACCTGAGTTATCACTGGGAGAAGAACAGAAAAGCAAGATTACAGTGACTACACGTTTTAAATTATCACGATTTGTTCTAAGTCACATACCCTAGATTGTCTACCCATCTCCACAATACATACTTTTCATTACAAAAAAAAAAAAAGAGAATTTAAGAGAAAGCATCTCAGAGGACTACTATACTCTGAAGTTATGATTATTGGTGCTCTCACCCTTCCAAACTGCTCAGTGGCTTAAAAGAAGACAAGGCATTTTATACAACCCATTGTAAAAATTTAGTAATTTCAGACATGCGCTTTCCTAAATAAATGCAATAATCCATCTGCAGACACCTCAACTATTTTTTAAGGACATACAAAGATAGACATTCTGCAACTTTTTGTGTTGAACATCACAAACCAAGAATCGGGTTTGCTAAATGCAATAGATGACTCATGTAAGGGTTTGCAGAATTATAACATGTAGTCTTGCAAGAAGCTCAAACTACACACATACACACACACTCACGGTGTCTTAAACAGTAAATGTTTTTTCCACTCTTTGAAATGTGGAATTTTTTTTTCCCAATGTTGCTGTTTGGCTCTTTTCTTTCCCATGCAAAAAGATAGAATTTTCAGACTCCTGTTATTGTCAAAACAACTCTTTCTGTATGAACAGAGTTAATCCTCCACACAGATCAGCTCTTTCCCCTCCCCAAAAAACACGACCCCAGGGACTGAAAGATAAAAAAAGAAAACTGATTGAATTTCAACACCACGGTACTACTTTCTCAATCAACATGGATTGCTGATTAAGAGATGCTCTTAATCAAGCATTCCGTATTGATTAATAATCTGCCTAACTGTACTATTTTATATTTGCTCTAAAATATTTCTAATATTACCAGCTATTACATTATTCATTACATGTACATATATTTACAACCATGTTTCTACTGTAATATTATCTCAGAACACTATAAATTAACCAGTACTATATACTCAAATGTTTTAACAATTAATTTATTCTAAATACCATGACATTTTTTTAAGTAATTAAAAAAAACGCATTAACACAAAAAAAAAAAAGTAAACACTTGTTCAGGGCATAATGTCAAAGGATGTCAACGAATCAGATCCTGGAAAGCAACAAGCAATTACAAGAAAATGCTGAGTGCCCTCATTTTTACATAAGGAAATGGGAAAAGAAAGCGTCCAATAATTGTTGTCCCAGCTTTTTATTTTGTAATTTTCTCATAGGAATTCTCCATTTTCTTCTTTGTCAGGTGCATTGTTTCTGCAACCCAAAGTAACATTTCAAATCTCAATTAACTTTCCTTCCTCAAAATTACCCCCTTAAAAAAAAATACAAGCACACCCGTACTGATATCTGAAAGCCTAATCCATAATGCTATTTTCCCCCCACTTTTACCTCTGCCTTGTTTTTCTTATTATTACCCAGAATAACATTTGAGTTGGATCCAATCTGGCAAGCTTTTATCTTTACAAACAGTCCTAAAAAGCCAATGAGACACCTTTAGCAAACAAGGTCTAACTGTAGATAGGTTTGCTGAAAAGGCTTCATGTGTACTTAAATAGAAGTACACTTCACTCCTCGAAACTCATCTTCTGCCTGAAATGAAATTATTTCATTAAGGGCATCTAAACCAGAGTGTCCATATAGATACAAGCAAACTGTTAGAAAATACTTACTTCAAATTTGAACCACTCAGAATTCCACTGAGGATTAAGTGATTTGGGATACACATCTGTCTTAAATGTTGTATTTCCAAATTTTACCTAAAAATACAAGCATTCCATTATTAATAATAAATATTAATTAAAAAATTTAGAAACTCATTAAATCTACACGTGCAAAGAATTTCAAATACATATTTCAACAGTATCAATAATCCTTTTCAGTGTGAGTGGCTTTTTTAATCAATTCACATGAATCAGTAACTTTTTACGTATCAACAAGTCTTCCAATAAATCCCTCTCCCACTTTTAAAATAATTTCTTTTCCTCCTCAATCACTTGAGAGGTAAAAATATTGCTTTTATTGGCTATCCAAAGTCACTTGGCACACTCTTTTGCCTTCTGTTTAGAAATACTGTAAGCAAAAGTATTCTATCTAAATATTGATAGTTTATGTCCTATTACTGTTCTCTCTAGGGTTTCTAAAACAGCTTTATTGACAATTTATAAAAGAAATATAGAAATAAAATGGTAACATTGGTAAATGTATTTCTTAAATTCAAGAAATCTCCCCAGATACACACCAGAAAATAACTGAAACCATCTCCATTAACTGTAATCTTGATATGCTGGACACAGATCAGTAAATTCAGAGCAGCAAGGGGTAAGCAACTTATTAGTTTCTATTCCTTTCTTAAAAGTATAGAAAATTCCAGAAAGCATATAGGCAAAAATGTTAGAGGGACTACATATGTACATACATATCTTTCTATATATACCCCTGTAACCTCCAGTTACTGAAGACTAAATATTCTCCATACTTCTATTGGTTAATGCACCTTCAACCACATAATAGCCTATTTCAGGAATCTCCATTTGGTCTCCATAGGAGTCTATTTCAGGACGACCCCAATTGTTTGTTTTTGATCATTTTTTGGGGTTTGTTTGTTTGTTTGTTTAAAAAGTGAAACTGAATTTCTGTGATGCTCTATAGGTCAAGAAACCATGCTGCACAATGCAAGAGCCTTTATTTCACTGCAGCTTTCATTCCAAACCATTTACAAACACTTCTACTTCTCTAAATGTTGCCTCTCGAAATAATTAGTATTTCAACTCATACCAACTATCTGATGGTACTTACAAATACCCAAAGTTATGTTTTTGAACTCATTCAAGATTCTTAAGAAAATAATGAGCGTGCCAATATAAAAGAAATGCTGCAGTCAAAGACAGTTATGGATTTTGAATGCCATTTTCTTTTTAAAATTCTAAATGGGTTTTGGAGACTAAATTTAGGCTTAGCTTCTAAAAACTGTACAGCAATTTTTTAAACACTTTTGCTCAAGAAAATATTAAATAAACACTTTATATATTTCAGTAATATGGTGATTATTTTGCATAGGTGCATACCCCAACTCTAAAGAGATTCTGCACTTGCTTAAGTACACCCAGTGAATTTAAAAAGCCTGAAGCACTGCAGAACTGGACTATGAGTTCACACTGAGCTCTGTATGTATAACCATACGTACCTCAGTGAACAGAACTCTGTGCAGCATTTGTGACCAACTAAAAAAAATGGTGGGGCCCCCTATTTGATTCAATGAACAGTAATGCTTTTCAAAAAGTTACTTCAAAGTAAGCTTTAAAGTTAAAAGCCAGAGCGGTATGAAAACACAGGACTAAGCAACCTTAGTGTAAAAAATCACCCAGCTATCAAAAGGTGGATGCAGCCTATGTGCACACAGAAAACTAACATAGTTAGTTTTGTCACTTAGAATGTATATTCATCACACAAAGCAGTATAATAAAGTGATACTGACGCTACTTTTAACGGACTTACCTTATATACCAGAAGCTGCCAAGATGCAACAGCCCAGAGCTCCACCCAACCTATTTTTACATGTTATCTAGGGAGTAAATTAGCCTGGAGCCCCAGGCAGCTCTAACTGAACTTCTCCAGTAGTCAAGCTAGTTCATTAAAAGCTAGTAGAGATAATCAAGCACTACACTGCTGTCCGCTGTACAAATTTAGAAGCACAATTACAGAAGAAATTGTGCTAATTTGCTCCAGATCACACATGCTAGCGAAGTCCAAGTTATGCATAACCGGAGCCAAGTAAGAGCTCTAAAGTCTTTTCTCATTTTCTTTTCTAATTCTAGATTTATATTAGAAAATTTAACAAGGAAATTAAAGGCTAGTAATCAACTAAGACCTTCACATTACTTCAGCTTTTCATTTTTATTTAAGTGAAAATGTTTTGTAAAGGTTTTCAGCAACTTTACACTGGAAAATAAAACAGTAGTTTCACGCTCAATTTATTTTGACATAAATCTCACCTGCTGTCTTGCCTATTCCATATGTGTAAAGGGTAGTTCCTACAGTCTAAGTAACAGTCCTAAAAGCAAGGCCCCATCTACATATTTCTTCAGCCTTATTGTGCCAATACACTCATGAAACTGCACATAAACCCAGCTAAGCAAACTGATCTTTCTGAAAAGATTTATCTTCCTTTTTTGCTAAGCCAGTCTTTAACCAGATGAATTTCCAAATCTATTTTGCTACACTGCTACTCAGACAGTGGGGTTGGCACAGATGGAGCAGGGCTGGGAACAAGTGACCAACAGGAGAGGAGAGCTGTTTCTCCTCAAGGCAGCATAAAAACAGGCCAAATCAAAATCATCAGAGAACTGTATTTCCTATTCCTGTTTTCCCTGTCTCATAGTAGCACGCATCAAGTTGTTGAAGGCTGCCTATTAATGAAATTTAAAATTACAAGAGAAATGTGTATAAATTAAAAACTGACTCATGAAACATCTGAAACCAAACACTGAAACATTAAATTAAATGATTGCCATTCATGTAATAAAATAGAACTGTGTACTTTTTCAGCTCCATTGAAAAGCACAAGAAATACATTTTTACTTTATTACTAACTTACTGTCCCACTAAGCAATGTGCTTAATGTCTAATGTCAACCAAATTTTTAAACACCAAACCAAATCAGTACTTATATACCAAAACCTATTTTGATATTACTGTCATCAGCCTTCTCAATTTATACAGTTCTAGAAAGACATTCTGTCTTCCTACCTTAATTCCAGTATTGTGTCAACCTCAATTACTATTTGTGGTACAAGCATGCATTTGCATAGCATTCCATTTTTAAACACCTCTTTGCTTTTTCTGAGAGTATGATTTCTGAATCTATGGAATGTTTCTGAAATGTTTTAAGTCATTCATATTGGAAATAATGAATCATAGAACAGAAAGATCACGTCAAGTTATTTTACAATCCTTTCCTGAGAAACGCCTTATGTATTGCTGTTAACTACATAATTGTAAAGAAGGTTGGGGTTAGATAGTTTCGGTGCAATAACGTGATTTAAACATGCAAACGATACTAAATATTTGTCCAATAAAAAACCTCTTCGAAAATATTTTAGTATTTCAAATACTTTAAAGCGAAATATGAATATTGGCCTTGAAAGTAAGGCCTGCACAACCACTCTGCACTTCATATATTCAGAGATACAAATTACTTAAACACGCTTTTGCTACTTCTCCATCCTGCTTACAACGCATCTATCGAATCCTGAAATGGATTCCATTTGGCTGCGGTATCAACAAGAGCCGTTCACTATCAACCTTCAGCTAAGAGAGGCTGAAAAAGAGCAGAATATTTCTAAAATGCCATTCAAATTCTACACGGCTGTCAGCTAAAAATCACACCCGAGGATAAACCAGAAACTGCTCTTAAAACATCCCTGCGGACATGGGCTCAGGGTGCTCCTTGCCATTTCTGCAGCCCCTTTGCGGGGCGTGCTCGCCCACCTGGCCCTGGCCGGGGCTGGCCCACCCTCCCCGCGCGGAAGCG